ACTTCTTCTAAAACGCATTCTTTCCCCCATATATTAGACATTATATTTTATATTCAATAACCTAGGCATTAATGACATTTTAGACCAAATAATTCTTTGTGGTGGAAGGTGGGAGGACAGTCCTGTGAATTTGAGGATGGTGAGCAACATCCCTTTGACTACTGACCAGATTCCAGTAGTAAGCTTACCACATGCCCAGTTGTAACAACCAAAATTATTTCCAGATATATTAGCAAATATCCTCTGAGGGCAAAACTGTCCTTACTTGAGAACCAGTGTTGTATACAGACAATGTTTATTTGCATTCACCTATATATTTACCCATTTATTTGCTCCTTCTTCCTTCTTGCATCTAATGCAGTTGTCTTTCCCTATGTGTGGTTTCACTTTAAAGTTTCAATTATCCATAGTCAATAGTGGTCAAAAAATATTGAATGGAAAATTCCAGAAATAAACAACTCATAAGTTTTAAATACCTTTTATTATATTGCTATAATTATTCTATTATAGTAATTATTTTATATCTTACTGTGCCTTATTAACTATTCTTTATTATAGGTATGCATTTAGAGGAAAAAATATAGTATGGATAGGGTTTAGTACTCTCTGTGGTTTCAAGAAGTAGAGGAAAAACTTGTAATATATTCCCTATGGAAAGGGAATACTATTGTACCTCCCTTTTGGCATAATTTGCTTTGACTCTGATATGTCTTTTATTTCCTTTGATGAAAGATTACTGATAGTAATCTTTTTTTTTAATATACACTGGACTGAACCCAGGAGTGCTTAACCACTGAGCCACATCCCCAACCCTTTTTATTTTTTATTTGCAGACAGGATCTCGCTAAGTTGCTTAGGGCCTCATTAAGTTGCTGAAGCTGGTCTTGAACTTGTCATTTTCCTTCCTCAGCCTCCAGAGTCACTGAGATTACAGGCCTACACCACCATGCCCAGCTTCACATTCATTCTTAAAAGATAATATTGCTGTATTCATGATATGATATTGTTGCTAGATAATTTAGTTTGGTTATTTTCTCTCAACATTTTGAAGAGAGCATTTAGTTTTCTTTTCACTTTTATTATTGCTATTGAGAAGTTTACTGAATGCCAATCAGTTATTCGATTATAAGGATTTTTCTTGTTTCTGTGGCTATATATCAAATCTTCTCTTTGTTTTTGGTTCTACAGCTTCAAGACAGTATGAAAAGTAACTTCAATTTGTTTTACCTGGTATAGTACTTCCTATATGTGAATTCATATCTTTCATCAGTTTTGGAAAAATTTTAACCCGACTCCATTGGATACTACCTCTACTCTATTCTACTTATTCTTCTATCACTTTAAAAAAATTTTAAATGAGGTAACTTTTTATAGCTTTATTTTATTCATTTATTTTTTATGTGGTTCTGAGGATTGAACCCAGGGCCTCACATGTGTAGGCAAGCACTCTACCACTGGCCACAACCCCAGCCCATCTCTAGCACTTTTATAGGTATATACTATCTGTTTTCATTCCATCCTTCTTATACTTTAATTTCTTTCATATTTTCTTTTTTCCCTCTGTGCTACAGTCTAAGTTTCTTCAGGTACATCTTCCACTTCACAGATTTTCTCTTCATCTGTGTCTATTATGCCTCATTTATACAATCTGTTTTAAATGTTAGCAGTTATATTTTTCATTTTTAAAGAGTCTATTTAGTTCTTTTTTGAATGGTCCTGGTCATTCTAGATAGTCTTTTGCTTATTTCTAATGCTACTATTTTTATTCCTTTAAACAATTAACATGTACTTATTTTTTAATTCTATACCTAAAATGTTAATATCTGAGATTCTGAGCTATAGCTTCATCCCCTTTTATTTATTTATTTATTTTAAAGAGAGAGTGAGAGAGAGAGGGAGAGAGAGAAAGAGAGAGAGAATTTCATTATTTATTTATTTTTTTTAGTTTTCGGCAGACACAACATCTTTGTTTGTATGTGGTGCTGAGGATCGAACCTGGGCCCCACGCATGCCAGGCGAGCAGGCTACCACTTGAGCCATGTCTCCAGCTCCCCCTTTTATTTTTTGAGACAGGATTTTATTAAGCTGCCAAGGCTGGTCTCAAACTTGTCATTCTCCTGTCTCAGCTTCCCACGAAGGAATTTTAGGTGTATACCACCATGTCTGGCTGACTTTCATTATTAATAGTTTCTTTATGTGTTTGATGATCTTGAGTGTGGACTTCTATTTGGTTAATTTTTATCTGAGGAATCATAAGTGCCTTCTAACTCAGTACCCAGTTAGTCCATTGAATTAGTTTCAGTTATTATATTTTTAAATCTTCACACTGTTTGGCTGTTTTTCATAAAATCTTTTACTAATATTTTTTAATCACATACTTACTTTCTCAATGCCTGTTAAGTATTTTTGATATTACATGATGATTCTAATACCTGAAATCTTCGTAGGTCTTATTCTGATGTCTCATGTTTCTACTGACTTTCATTTACGGTCACTTGTTTCCTTGAGTGTTTAGTGATTTTTTAAAAAATTATAATCCATTTGTTTTCACTTCAACTTTATCTGCTAAAATTCTTTGAGGCCTTTCATAAAATACAGTACGGAGATCCAGTGTACTCTTTATGCAGTTTCCTGCAATGATTACATCTATATAACTAAAGTATGATATCAAAAACAGGAGATTAATATTGATATAATGTCATTTTATGGCATATATAGATTCATGAACCCTCCATAGCAATGCAGGTACATGTATATCTTTCCCCACTGACTTTTCAGTGCCATACAGCTTCATGCTTTATAAGATGAGAGCAATAATACTCATTACAGAGTTGTACTGAGAATTAAACTGGCTTTCCAGCAACATGGTAGAATAATGTACACACCATCCTTCCCATGGAAAAATATTAAACAGGAGTACTTACCTAGCACATGTGAGGCACTGGATTCATTACAGAGCACCACATAAAAATAAACAACAACAACAACAAAAAAGGCATTCTGTCCAACTACAAAAAAAATTAAGAGGAAGAATGCATAGGTTAAGCACTGAGTAGGAAGATACTTTCAGTCTATCTATACTATATTTGAAGTATACTGTAGGTATATGAACTACAGCTGAGTTATGAGCCAGGGGGCTCCAGCTTTATGGGAGCCTCTACATACCCAATTTGGGCAACTTTGTTTTCCTCACCAAGGCCAATGAAATCACCAAAAATCAATATTCACTGTTGCCAATTTGGCAAGCATCCTTGAGATGAAAGTCACCCTGGTGCTCCCATTCCTTCCCTAAGTTCGTGTCTTCACACTCAGTCTTTGACTTATCTATTCCTCCTGTTTAATAGTTTTCAGTGGGAAGGCTGGTATATACATGTAATCTAACACGTTGTTGGAGAGCAATTTTAATCCTCAAAACAACTGTCTAATGGGTATTATTGCTCTTATCTTAAAGATCATGGAACTGTATTAACATTGTGAAAGATGATATAATATAGTGGAAACACATGAGCTTTGAGGCAGGCCAACCTGGGCTTCAATTCTGATTCCATCACTTAGTTAGCTGTATAACTCTAGGTAAGTAATTTAGCCTCTTTAAGCTTCATTTTACTCATTGATGTTATACTATTTCTTATAGTGTTGTTGGGGGAATTAAATGAGATGATGCATTAAAACGCTTAGCATTTTATTAAATACTTATCCCTGAAAAAATGGTAATTGCTCCTTTCATTGTTCTACTTGTCAAAAAAATTCAGTAACTTTATTGAATGCCCACTAAAATACCCATGGTCGTTTTAGCTAAAACATGGCAGGGCTGGAATTTATACTTAAGTCTACCATGCTCTATTCCCTACACCATGTTGGTTTTCTTTATCTTCCTTAGAAAGTATTTGTGGAAAAAAGAAAAATAATATGTGGAAAAAAGAAAAATAATAATTCTCTATCCTGTCTGAATAATCCACAAATATTTAAATGGACAGGGCTTGTGCAGAATAGGAAAAAATAGTTTGAGTACTTGATTTCATATATTCCTAACTGGGCTATGGTTCCCTCAAAAACAGTTTAATGTAGTAGTTATTATTCAGGCATTAGAATCACAAAGACCTAGATTTGAGTCCCAAATTCTTAAGATCTAAGATCTTCAATTTCTGGTCTGTGACATGGGAAAAACATGATAAGCTTTGAGTTCCAATAGGACTATTGGGAGGATAAAATATAATAAAGTCACACTTAAAACAGGGCCTGAAACAAGGAAATGCTCCCAAAAAGTAGTTGTTGCTATTACCAAAGACATAGACTATGTTTTCTGGTTTTGTTTTGTTTTGTTTTTTCATTCCTCCCATTAATTCAGTTGATCAACATTTAGTGCTTATGTGTATACTAAAGAAATTACACGACAATGAACCTGTCTGGTATTAAATAGGGTATTAAATGAAAAGGAAACTAAATTAGATTCCTTATAAAAAGCTTATTATTGGTAGGGAATTCTGCCACAGAATCAGCTTAATAATCTATGAGTCTTAGACTACAAAAGCATTTGTAACTACCATTCTATCTGGGTACCCTGGCACATGCCAGTAATCCCAGTGACTCTGGAGGTTGAGACAGGAGGATTGCAGTATCTTGACATGTGTAACCAAAGAAAGTCTCTTCTGCTTTGGAAGAGAATTTTCTCTATCCCTCCCATGTGGAAGAAAATATGGACAAAAAAAATAGTTCCTTTACTCTGGTTTATAAAGATGTATTATTTATTTAGTCTCATAATAAAGAGGTAATATAGAGAAATTTTTAAAAAATACATAGAATGTGGTTGGGAATGTAGCTAAGTGGTAGAGTGCTTGCTAAGAATGCACAAAGTCCTGGATTCAATCCTCAGTACTGCAAAAAAAAAATTAAAACTTTTAAAAAGAAATTTACAAAAGGATATTTATATATAAAAGTATTGACCCTCCTGTACCAGTAATCAGAAAGATTTATATCAGTAAAATTCAGACTATAATTACCTTCTTCTTTTGTTCTTCCCCAGCCACTTATAAAACACTTTGTGTTTTCATCCAGGTTTTGGAAAACATCAAAAGGTAGACAAATAGGCTGTATATAGTCATTAAACATCACAGGTTTTTTTAAATAAAAAAGTGCAATATCATTTTCATAAGTTTCCATAATGAAGTCTGGATGAATACTGATTGCTTTAACTTTTATCCTCTTGGTGTATGCTTGACTCATATTTACTGTATTGGTTCCCATCACAGCTCTCCACTGTAAAGGATCTCTGGAAGAAAGTAAATATTCTTATTATAAGCATGTTTATTTAATTTAGTAAATATTATTAATCTTTCACTAGTTTTTTTTCTTATGTTAGATTAATAAAAAAATTAATTCTACTTTCATGTGACATGAAATATAAATTAAAAGCCTGCTGGGTGCCCTGGCACATGCCAGTAATCCCAGTGACTCTGGAGTTGAGACAGGAGGATTGCAAGTTTGAGGCCAGCCTCAGCAGCTAACAGAGACCCTGTCTCAAAAATTTTTTTTAAAGGGTTAGGGGCCAGAGATGGTGGCACATGCTTGTAATCCTAGCAGCTTGGGAGGCTGAGACAGGAGGACCACAAGTTCAAAGCCAGCCTGAACAAATTAGCAAGGCCCTAAGCAACTCAGCAAGACCCTGTCTCTAAATAAAATATAAAAAGTGGCTGGAGATGTGGCTCAGTGGTTGAGTGTTCCTGGGTTCAAATCTTGGCATAAAAAGCGGGGAGAGGGGAGTAAGGATGTGGCTTGGTGATAGAGTACCCCTGGGTTCAATTTCCAGTACTGCCAAAAAACAAAATAAATGTGATGTAGGAAACAGGGAAAATACCAATAGGACAGACAATTCAGAAACAGATTTAAGCATATGAGATTTTAATATATGATTAAGATAGGATTTCTAACCAATGGACCAAAGGATGAATTATTCAATATGGTACTGGACAACTAGTTAATTGTTTGAAAAGAGAATAAAATTAGATCTCTGGACTAACACTAAGCACCAAAATAAACTGCAAATGGATTAAATATTTCTATGAGTAAATCTTCTAAATAAAGAGTTCCTATCTTTTAGATATATCCAAAGTGATAGGCCTGAGATTTCCTTCAAAATAATTGGAAGGGGTAGGCTAAGGGTGTAGTTTAATAGTAGAGCCCTCACTTATGCATGGGGCCCTAGGTTTGATCCCAGCATAACCCACACATATACACACATTGGAGCAGGAAGTTGGTAAGAGCATAAATAAAATAAGATCAGATATAAGTTTATAATTTGAAGCTATGTGATGGGTATATAAAAATTCACCAAAATATTTCTTCTGCTTTTATGATTTACTAGAAAGAATTATTTTAAATTAAATGAGAAAGGATTTTGTAAAACATTTCACTGAAGGTAAAAACAAGAAGTAAATAATTTTCTTGACAGTCTAAAAACAAACCATCAAGCCAAAAAAAGGTCAAAAAAATCAACAATTAAATCCTCATTAGTTTAACAGTTGTTACATCTGGAATTCACTTAGGAAGGAAAAACTTTCACTTTATATGCTTATGTTTACAAATACTGAAACATTCTGGACCCTCCATGTTAGCAAAGTTTATATATAAGCATGTGTGTGTTTGATGATAGCAATATAGGTGAAGGCGGTACTGGGCTCCTGTTGCCTCTCACAGAAAGTGTAAATACGTGGACACTTTGGCAACGTGTGTCAGTAGTCTGTAAAATTTGGATTGCCTTTGACTCTGCAGTTCTACCTCCTAAAGTTTATCCCAAAGAAACAGAAGATGAACACAAAAGTTTAGCTATAAGAATATTTACCACAGAAAAGGCCTACATGTCCAACACGTGGCTCAGGTAAATTTTGGCACATCTATAGCATGGAATGTAGAAGTAACAGATGTGTATCGACATGTCATAAAGATTCTCATGTTATACAATTTAATGAAAAAGGCTATTTCACAGTAATAACTATATTAATATATAAAATAGTTTATGTACATGCATAGGAAAATTTAGAGTAAATGTGTAACAAAAACACCTGTTATTTCTGGGATATATAATGACTCATTTTTCTTTTTGTCTTTTCTATTTTGTCATTTTCTTATATTAAATATGTTTTACCTCTTTATTATGGTTTTGGGGACCAAACCCAGGCTTCACAGCCTGAGCAAATTAGCAAGGGCCTAAGCAACTCAGCAAGACCCTGTCTCTAAATAAAATAAATAAAAAGTGGCTGGAGATGTGGCTCACTGGTTGAGTGTTCCTGGGTTCAAACCATGCTAGGCAGCACTTCACTACTGATCTACATCCCAAGCTTTTTTTTTTTTTTAAGTCTTTATTGTAGCTGCCTGATAGCATACATCTTTTATATATTTATCTTTGTGGTGCTGGGTATTGAACCCAGGGCCTTGTGCATGTAAGACAAGCACTCTGATAACTGAGCTATATCCCCCATCACCAAGCTTTTTATTTTTTATTTTGAGACACTATCTCTCTGAGTTGCCCAGACTTCGATGCTCTTGCCTCAGCCTCCTAAGTAGCTAGAATTATTGGCAGGTGCCACTGTGCCCACTATTTGCATATTTTTAAATATAAAGTTGTACATACACTTATCATTTGACCTGGTAATCCCATGTGGATATTCAAGTGAAATAAAAACCAACATTCACAAAAACCAATATGCAAACATTTGTAGTAGCTTAGCTCTTTTTTTGTTGTTGTTGTTAATATTTATTTTTCAGTTGTAGTTGGACACAATACCTTTATTTTATTTATTTTTACATGGTGCTGAGGATCGAACCCAGGGCCTTGCACATGCTAGGTGGGTGCTCTACCGTTGAGCCATAGCCCCAGCTCCATAGCTTAAGTCTTTATTGCCCAAATTGGAAATATCCTTCAAGTGGTATATTGATAAACAGTGCTACCTCCATAAAATAGATTACTACCCATTACTATTCCCATAAAAAGGAACAGTAATGGGGCTGGGAGCATAGCTCAGTGGTAGAGTGCTTGCCTAGTAAGGGTTAAGCCCTGGGTCCAATCCTCAGCACCATCCAAAAAGAAAGAACAGTAATAATACACACAATAACAGATGATTCTCAAATTTATATGCTAAGTAAAAGTGACCAAATTCAAAAGGCTACATACACTATGTGTGATTCTGTTTATAGAACACTGGAAAAGGCAAAACTATAAAGAGACGGGGAGGGACACAAGAGATTTTTGGGAAATAAAAAGAACTGTGTTTTGTGCTGGTAATTATATAACCATGCATTTGTCAAATTCACAGAACTGTATATGAAAAGAATTTATTTTACTGCATGTTGAGTTAATCTTAATAAAATAATTTCTGTAGCTTGGCATGGTGGCACATGCCTGTAATCCCAGCTCTCCAGGAGGCATAGGCAGAATGATTGCAAGTTTGAAGCCAGCCTGGGAAATTTAGTGAGACCCTGTCTTAAAATAAAAAATGAAAAGGACTGGAGGATGTAGCTCAGTGGCAGAACACTTGCTTACCATGCAGCAAGGTACTTAGTTTGATCACCAACACCACAAACAAACAAACAAACAAAAAACTTTCTCCCTTAGCAGGGTACAATGGCACACGCCTGTTATCCCAGCGGCTAGGGAGGCTGAGACAGGAGGATTACAGGTTCAAAGGCAGCCTCAGCAAAATCGAGATACTAAGCTCACTGAGACCTTGTCACTAAATAAAATACAAAATAGGGCTGGGGATGTGGCTCAGTTTTTTCGTATTTGCTGAGATTTGCTTTGTGATCTAAAATATGGTCTGTTTTCAAAAATGTTCCATGTGCTGCTGAGAAGAAAATGAATTGAGTTGTTGATGGAGGAAATATTCTATAGATGTCTGTTACGTCTATTATTAATTGCATTTTTTTAGTTCTATAAAATCTTAGTTTTTGTTTGGATGATCTATACAGTGGTGAGAGAGGCATGTTACAGTCATCCAACATTATTATATTGTGGTGCACCATGATCAAGTAGATTTCACCCTTGGGATGCAAGGTTGTTTCAACATACAGAAATCAATAAATGTGGAACTGGGGTTGTGGCTCAGTGGTATAGTGCTAACCTAGTATGTGAGAGGCCCTGGGTTTGATCCTCAGCACCACAAATAAATAAATTAAATAAAGGTATTGTGTCCATATACAACTAAAAAAAATATTTTAAAAATTTTTAAAAAAGAAATCAATAGGGGCTGGGATTGTGGCTCAGTGGTAGAGCACTCGCCTAGCGCAGGCGGGACCCAGGTTCATCCTCAGCACCACATAAAAATAAAAGGGCATTGTGTTGTGTCCATCTACACCTAAAAAATAAATAAATAAAATTTAAAAACCAATAAATGTAATTCACCACATAAATAGACTTAAGGACAAGAATCACATGATAAAGAAAAAGCAACTGACGAAGTATAGTACCCATTCATGTTTAAAACACTTAAAAAAAAAACTACAATGGAAAGAACTTACCTCAACATTATAAGGGCTATATGTGACAAATCCAAGGCCAACATTATTCTGAATGGAGAAAAACTGAAAAGATTTTCTCCAAAAACATGAACAAGACAAGGATACCCACTTTTATCAATCCTATTCAATGTAGCCCTTAAAACTTTAGCCAGAGCAATCAAGCAAGAGAAACAAATTAAAGGGATACAAATAGGAAGAGTTCAAATTATTTTTTTGCCGTGACATTACCTTATATTTAGAATACCCAAAAAACTCCATCAGATTTCTAAAATTGATAAATAAATTCTGCAAAGCAGTAGCATAAAAGATGAACACACATACATCAATCACATTCCTAAACACCAATTAGGCAAACTATTCACAATAGCCTCAAAAAAAAAAAAACAACTCACTTGGGAATCAATCTAATAAAAGTGGTGACATGAAAACTATAGAATACTAAAGAAAAAAATTGTAGACCACCTTAGAGGATGGAAAGACCTATGTTCCGAATTAATATTGTAAAAATGGCCATTCTGCCAAAAGTGCTATTCAGATTCAGTGGATTCCCATCAAAATTCCAATGAAATTCTTCACAGACCTAGAAAAAGCAGTTACAAGATTCATTTGGAAAAATAAGAGATCCAGAATAGCCAAAGCAATCCTTGGCAAGAAACGCAAAGCAGGAGGCATCACAATACCAGACTTCAAATTATACTACAGAACTATAGTAACAAGAACAGCATGGTACTGACACAAAAACAGACACGAAGACCAATGGAATAGAATAGAAGACACACAGACAACACCACATAAATGCAGTTCTCTGATACTAGAGAAAGGTGCCAAAAGCATGTAGGAGAAAAGGTAGCCTTTTAAACAAATGATGCTGGGAAAACTGGAAATCCATGTAGTAGAATGAAACTTAACTCCTATCTCTCACCCTGCACAAAACTCAACTCAAAGTGGATCAAAGACCTAAGAATTAGAGCAGAAATTCTGCAACTGCTAAAAGAAAATGTTTACCCAACACTCCAACACGGCAGCTCAGGAACAGACTTCCTTAACAAGACTCCTAAAGCATAAGAAGTAAAATCAATAATCAATAAATGGTATGAATTCAAACTAAAAACATCATGTTATTGTTTCATTGTGCCAAAAGACAAAGGAAACAATAACATGATGAGAAAGCCTACAAAATGGAAAAAAAAAAAATCTTTGCCACCTGCTCCTCAGATAGGGCATTAATATCCAGGATACAAAGAACTCAAACTTAATGCCAAAACAAACAAACAAACAAAAAACAAATAACCCCATCAATAAATAATTGGACAAAGGAACTAAATAGACACCACTCAAAAGAAGAAATATAAGTGGTCAATAAATATATGAAAAAAATGTTCAACTCTAGTAATTAAAGAAATGCAAATTAAAACTACATTGAGATTTTATCTCACCCAGTCAGAATGGCAGTTATCAAGACTACAAGTAACAATAAATGTGTGTGTTTGGTGAGGATGTGGAGGAAAAGGTATACTCATACATTGTTGGTGGGACTGTAAATTAGTGAAATCCTCTGGAAAATAGTATGGAGGTTCCTTGAAAAACTAGAAATGGAACCACCATATAATCCAGCTATCCCACTCCTCAGTATATATCCAAAGATTTACAATCAGCACACTACCGTGACACAGACTTTATAGCAGCACAGTTCATGTATCCAAGCTATTGAGCCAACCTAAGTGCCCTTCAGCAGATAAATGGGTAAAGAAAATGTGATTGATTATACACACACACACACACACACACACACACACACACACAAATAGAGTATTACTCAGCTATAAAGAAGAATGACTTTAAGGCATTTGCCAGTAAGTGGATGGAATTGGAGACTATCATGCTAAGTGAAATTGGTCAGTACCAAAAAGTGAAAGGTTGAATGTTTTCTCTGATATGTGGAAGCTAATCCAAAATGGGGGAGGGCATATAAAAAAATAGAAGAAAGAGCAGTGGAGTAGACAAAAGGGAATGAAGGGAAGGGAGGAAGGATGGGATAGGGAAAGATAGTGGGATGAATCTGATTTAACTTTCTTATGTACATATATGAATATACCACAGTGAACCTCACCATCATGTACATCCACAAGACAGTAATTAAAAAAAACTATAAGTAAATAGCAGAATGATCAGTAGAGAAGGGAATGGAGTGGAAGGGTGTACTAGAGACTGAATTAGAATAAATTATATTCCTTGCTTTTATAATTAGGTAAAAATGAATCCTATGTCATGTATAACTAAAAAGAACCAATAAAAAAATTTAAAGAGATGGGTTTTTGACAGAAATGGAATTAGGAAGAAATGGTTGTTAATCACATGAAGACAATAGTAGCTGAGTGCATATAATAAAGTAATAGATTTCTCCCCTTGGTCAACCCTGATATTTTCCTGGGAATTTGAATTCACATAAGTACTTTATGTTTATTGATGGGCCTTGAAAAAGTCTTAATATTAAAAAAAATCAGAAAAAATAAAAAAGAGTTGGGGGTATGGCTCAAGAGGGTCTTTTGGCACAAGGAATTTCAGGAAAGAGATAGTTTAAGGAGAAGACGCTTTCATCATTGCCCCATGCTATCAAGGTCAAATAGGATGGAAACTGAGACAAGATCATTGGATTTGGCAGGAAGGTGGGTCTTTTAAGTATTCTGATCACAGAAATCTGACTGTAACTGAGATTTTATGGGCCAATGCAAGTGAAGCAAAAGAGAATCTTACAAAGAATCTGTGAAAGCCATATTTGGCCTTTTTTTTAATACAGCCCATGAACAAAGCATGTTTTTCTTTTTAAAAATATTTATTTATTTATTTCGTTGTAGTTGGACACAATACCTTTATTTTATTTAATTTTATGCTGCATTGAGGATCGAACCCCAGGTCTTGCACATGCTAAGCAATTGCTGTACTGCTGAGCCACAACCCCAGCCTCCAAAGCATGTTTTTCACATTTAAACAGTTAAAAAAATTTTTTTGGAACTGAGAAAAATATATGAATTTTAAACTTTAGTGTTCGTATGTAAAGTTTTATTGAGGGCTGGGGATATAGTTCAGTTGGTAGAGTGCTTGCCTAACATGTACAAGGTCCTGGGTTCAATCCCCAGCACCATTTAAAAAATAAAATAAAGTTTCATTGGATCACAGCTACATTCATTCAGTTATGTATTTTCTATGGCTACTTTCATGCTAAGTAATTGCGACAGAGATGACAAACTGCAAATTCTAAAGTATTCACTATCTTTACACACTGACATATAAATGATTCATTTCAACAAATACAGTGTTTTCTGTATAAGGCTTATGATTTCAAACCTTGCAAACATGTGGCTTAAATGAAAACAGCTGAAGTCAAATGACCCTCTACCACTTGAAAATATCTCATAAGAGAGTAAAATAAGAATTACATTCTGAATACATACCTAGCGTCTCTAGTGCAGTGGGCAGCTGTGAGAACCCACCTGTCTTTCACTAGGCTTCCTGCACATATATGAGCAAGAAAACGGCCATATCGAATCTGTAGACTAACTATCCATGGCCATGCACCATCTTGAGCATCTGAGCCCCCTACAATCCGAGACCCTTGCAACATATCCCTAAGCGGTGCTGTTCCACAATCTAAAAATAAAAATGATATATTATTTGGACTGGGCATCTATATTTATATTTGTGTGTTACTAACTCATCTAACCACATTAATGTAAACCTTTAAATTCTTATTTTAAAAACCGGATACCTAAGGCAAGCCCAAATTTTGAGTCGTAAAGGAGAGTTAAGATAAACATGCCATAATTGATTATTTTTACATAGACATGAAATCAGTACAATTCATTAAGTTAAAACTCTTTCCCAAAAAAGTATAAAAACAAGAATATCCTCTAGCCAGGCATCACATTATTGCCTGTATGAGATGGAGATTAAGAGCCTGAAATTTAGCCAGGTCCTATGGTGCAGGCCTGGATCATGGTGACTCCAGGGGCCAAGACAGATTGCAAGTTCCAGGTTAGCTAGTGAGAGAATTGAGGATGAAGCTCATTTTATAAAATGACCTGAGTTTAATCCCTAGTACAAAAAAAAAACCAAAAAAAACTCAAGTGATAAAAGAGCCTGAAACTTGGAGGCTGGGGTGTATGTAGCTCAGTGGTGGTGTGTAGTTAGCATGTCCCGCGGGCCCTAAGTTCAACCCTTGGCACCAAAAAAAGGAAAAAAAGAAAAACCCTGGGACTGGCGAGTCCAGAGGTACAAGTTCGCTTCAAGTTCTGATTCTTGCCACTTAACATGCTAAGCTGATTGTGCTCCGCTGTATTATATAAAGGTCCCCTTCAACTCGGAACACTAGTGAATCAGCCATCTGTAAAATCAGAATGATCGGCCCCAGAACGTTTTGAGGAGCAAACACAGAGGCCCGGCGCAAAGGTATATCCCTGTTAATTATCACTCCTACCGACATCATTCTGCGTCTAGAAGCCGCTTAGGTGTGTCGGGTTTGGGTTAAGGGGGCTGGGTCCACGGGCACGAGCCCAGTTCACAGGCGGGCCGCGGGGAAAGGCAGGGGCTGCCAAGGAATGAAGGGATACTGCCCTTTGCTGCCGGCTCTTCCTTCTGGGTCTCGTCCAACGGCTGCCAGCGCGCCACCCTGGCCCACCCAGGACCAGCGGCCTGTCCCTGTGGGGGTCCGAGCCCGTTCCTCCCGGGGAGCGAGGGGTGCTCGGAGGAGAGGAGAGCGCCCCCCACAAACAGTAGCGCAGCACCCAGCAGCGCCCGCCCCATCTTGGCGCTCGCGGGCAAGATGGCGGCGAGGCCCGCGCTCCCACAGCCTCCAGGGAGGCCTCGGGCGTCGAGGTGCCCGGATGCGGATTTCAGTTGGCCTCCCCTTCTCGGACAAGAGTAGGTCAGTGCCTGCCTCCCCTGGGCTCTGCGGGTTTGTTTTCATTGGCAAGCCCCTCCTGGGCCCTAGCAGCACACTGCTACCCACGGTAGGGCGGCTGTAGTGGCGGGAAGGTGCTGGAACCCCCCCGGGCGCTGCCTGCTCAGACTTGGAGGGCCCGGAGGCTTTCCAAAGCAAGGGCCATAGCTGGGGAAGGCCGAGGTACAACCGAGGCAAGGTGGGCACAGAGGTCGGGATTGGAGATGAAAAGGCCATTAGGGAAGCCCAGCATCTGTGAAGCAGATTGATCTCTTCCAGCTTTAAAGTAGTTTATCTTGAGCACACAACTCAGGCTGAGCTAATAAAACTAGATTTAAGGATTGCAAAATTGAGCACAAACCCGACTGGTGGTAATTGCACCTCCCCTAACAAACACAAGCACTCATGCCCTGTTCAGTCTCTAACCGGAGAGATCCATCATTCCTTGCCTCTCTAAGAAACCCTGAGATGCCTCTTGACTTTCCAAACATTGTATGGGAGCAGGGGACACAGATAAATGGCCCTGGTTAATCAGTCCATTAAGTAGGCATTACCCACATGCTATATGCCACACACCATCCTCCAGATACTGTCTCCTCATCTTGGCCTGTTTTCACCAAGCACCTTGTTCAGTGGATTTAACCTGAACCCCTGTTACTCTTGATGTTATCTCTTAGTGGATTTTCCATCCATTGGCCCTTACCCTGTTCTTTGGCTATAAATTCCCACTTACCCATGTTGTATTTGGAGTTGAGCCTAATCTCTCCCTACTTCAAAATCCCATTGCCCTAGTTCTTTTATTTTCATTTTATTTCAGTTGTCAGTGGATCTTTTATTTATTTATTCTTATGCAGCACAGAGGATCGAACCCAAGGCTTCATGAAAGCCAGGCAAGTGCTCTACCACTGAGCCACAACTCCAGCCCCGCATGGCCCTAGTTCTTTGTACCTTTGTATTGAAGGGGAATGCTGGGGATGATGGGGCTTGAACCCAGGGCCTTACTGCTGCATACTAGGCAAGCATCCTACCACTGAGTTACATCTCTAGCCCTTGCTGTCCCTGTCTTTATGATCCCAAGTAAAGGCTGCCTCACCATGCTTTAATAAATATTATGGAATATTTTTCTTTAACATGACCCTGAGTTTTTAAGAATGATGTTTAATGTTTGGTTTTAAATTGTTTCATCATTTCCCATCTTGAGTTAGGCTGAACTTTGCCTTCATTTGCCCCATACCTTCAGGAGTGAGAGAATAATGTGTGGGATTCTGTAGTCTGGAAAGTTGGTCACGTGGTGGGGAATTAAAGTGGGGTCAATAAAAGGTCAATTGCCTTGCTCATTTTATCCCTCTAAAGCTGACATGGTTGGCAGCGTTGAATAAAAGGAGTATATTAGGTTGGCACAGAAGGTAACACAGGAAAGTAAGCAGAGGCCTGGGGCCAAACCACAGTCAGTGGGTAGAAAGTAGGTACTGTTGGAGAAACAAGCTGCAGGTGGCACCTAGGGGCTAACAAACAAATTCCCTAATCTCCAAATGTTTTAATGGAAGGTAACACTTAAAAGGGGCTGGGAACAGAGTTGGGTATGTGCGTGTTTCTATGTGTGGAATGTGATCAGATTGTAGATGGCTTTGTAAGCAGGGGAAAATGATAAATTTTGCTATGACAGATGATAGGGTGTCAACAGATTCATAAAACAGGTGTGTGCAGCCAAATCATGAAATGGCTTGAAAAAGACAGTGTACCAGTCATTGCAAAGGTCCTCTGCCTAGATTCCTTCTGCCCTTTCTGGGTCTTCATTCATCTCTCCTGCCTTGTCATTTCCTCTCTCTGTGGGATCATCTCTATCAGCAAACAAATCTCTTCTGGCATGATAGACTTCCTTTACAGGGCGGGGGGGCCTTCTCTGTCTCCTGTTACACCCATGTTTGGTCCCTTTCCCTTCAGTGTTGGCTGGATTTAGTGATTCACTTCTAGCAAGTAAAAGGTGGCTTGAGGATATAGGTGCAGTGGTTTAGATATGGTTGGAATGTGACCCCCAGTGGTTCATGTGCTGCAAGCTTGGTCCCCAGCATAACTCTGCTAAGGTGGTGGAATCTCTAAGAGGTAGGGCCTAAGAGTGGTGGCACATGCCTGCAATCTCAGCTTCAGAGTTTGAGGCAGGAGGATCACTTGGGCCCATAGCCAAGAGTTTGAGAGGTAGGGCCTAATGGAAGATAATTAGATCATGGGGACCCTCAGGAGGAATTGTTGATAGTCTTTCAGAGTGAGTTCTTACAAAAGTGTGTTGTTTTAGAGCAATTCCACCTCATGTACTTTGTCCTTCTGCATGCAGTTGTTTTTCCTTCCACTTCTCTGCCATCCTGTGTATTAGCAGAGAGGCCCTCACCACAAATGCAACAAAAGGGGACCCTCAAGCTTGGATTTCTAGCCCCCCAAATTATGAGCTAAATAAACCTCTTTTCTTTGTTGTTAAGTACCCAGTGTCAGATATTCTGTTATAGCAACACAAAATGGATTCATGTAGTGGGCTACCATTTCTAAGATTAAGTTTTAAGCCGATTGTGTCTTGCATACCTCTCCCTCTGGTTCTTTTGCTCAGAGTTAAATTGGCTGCCACTTAGTGAGCTGCCCTCCAGCCAGGCCTCCAGACACA